GTGTGTGAGGGATTATAATAATAGCACGGCTTCAATGAAAAGTCAAAGTCTTGTGCTTTTTGTGATTTTCCATTTGAAATGGACAACATTTAGTGCATGAACAGGAGGACTAATATTTTAACATTTGTCTCTCATTCTTAGGCCCATTTGGCAAAGTTGCTTTCAGAACTATTTGGATAATTTTCAGTGTTTTATCTGACTAAAAGAGCTTTTAAAGGAAACTCACTTGAGTAGAAACGCTGCCAAAAGGGTCTTAATCATGCCTATTGCCATCCAATGGCTTGTTTAATATATCATGAATGGTAATTCTAGGTCTAATTATTATGAAGGAAAGTTGAGAGACATATTATACAATAATTGTAGTTGTGATGGATGGTGGATCACAATCTCATGCGACAGGACTATTTAATCTGGTCATTGAAGAAATACAGAAATAAAACCAAATACAACAGAATCATCTTCATTTTTTCAGATGATTAATAAATGTTTCGAAATTCTGAAAAGAAGATCCCGATTCATTGACACTCTCGAGAGACATTTCCTTCACTTTCAAAGAATTTTCTTTAATACTGTGATCAGAAAACAACATCGCTATTCTGGTCTTAATTTCATGACTTGATCTGAGTCCATTCTCATCAGGGTTGAGTCTCAAACCAATCTTCCACAAATCACAAATATAATTCTGGTTATGGAATTGATCTGCAAAGTAAGGCCAACACAAGAAAGGGACCCCCATGCTTAAGCCCTCCATGGTTGAGTTCCATCCGCAATGGCTTAAAAAACACCCAACAGAAGAATGAGCCAACACCTTTTCTTGAGGTGCCCATTCTACGATTTTTGCCCGGTTGGCCACTCTTTCCTGGAAGCCATTTGGGTACTCAGCCGGCGATCCATTGGCAAGATTTGATCTAACCACCCATAGAAAGGGTCTGCCTGAATGTTCAAGGCCTAAAGCAAGTTCATATAATTGATCCTGAGTGAAAATGGCTATGCTGCCGAATGAAACATAAATCACTGAACCAACTGGTTGGTTATCCAACCAGCTTAGACAAGTTGTGTCCTCCACCCAAAAGCTACCACCACTGGCTGAAGAGTTTGAGTTATTACTACTAAGTAATGGTCCAACAGGGCAGATTTTGGGAATCAATTTACAAGCTGATGATTCAATTTCAAGAGAAGTATTGGATAGCAGCAACTTAGCTTGATGTGCTGTTTCTTCGGCAGTCAGACAACACTCAAAGAAGATCTTTTGAGTCTTGAGGTCACTCGAGAAGCTCCAGGACAGTTCATTTCTTTTCCAGGGAGGTATCTCATCACCGAGGTCGATCAATTCACTTTGCATCATTGATCCTGAAGCAAGCAAATCGTTACATGTCTATGAATGTGGATTGTAGGAGTATCTAATCAAAATAAAAACACGGAAATCTCTGAATTTAATTTTACCATTTATATCAAGATTTCCTGCTTCAATAAGCTTTGGAATGTGAAGTATCAGGGCCATGCCAGCTGCCGCAGCAGGAAGGAAAGCTACTGGTTCAGCTCCCATCATTTTGGCTACATCAAGAATCCACCCAATAGCGATATCAGCTATGATACAACTAATCTTTTGATCCTCATTTTCCCAGTTGATCTTCTCGACCAAGTCTGTCAAATAGCCAGGCATCGTTCTTACAAGACTTTCTGTGATGATAAAAGCATTCTCTCTATCATCTTCAGGCATCAATCCATCAGGAATCGAGGTTAGTTCTATCCCTCTTTGCTCCTCATCCTCGGACTTTGCAGCAAGTACTTTTGCGTGTACGTATTCTGTGTTAACGAATGTAACCTTAATCCCACAATTCGCAATTTTCTGAGACAATTTCATGAGTGGCATGACATGCCCTTGAGCTGGGAATGGCACAGCCAATACATGTGGTCTCTTGCCAATAACTGCCATTGCCATTTCTTGGCTTTTTAATGGATTCTCCAACTTGAGTCTGTGCTTGTATTTGTATATAAGTGGTAACGATGTACATAGCAATGAAAGTTTAAGTTGAAAGAGAAATTAATATATATTAAACTGATGATAGGA